TTTATTTATTTATTTATTTATTTATTTATTTGTTTGTTTGTTTGTTTGTTTGTTTTGTATTTTTTTGAGACAGGGTCTCTTTGTAGCCCCAGCTATCCTGGAACTCACTATGTAGACCAGGCTGGCCTCGAACTCACAAAGATCCGCCTGCCTCTGCCTCCCAAGTGCTGGGATTAAAGGCTTGCGCCACCACGCCTGTCCTGTTTATTATTTTTATTTTATGTGTTTATGTGTATGCATGTATTGCCTGCATGTAGGTAAGTGCACCCGTGTCGTGCAATGCCTGCGGAGGTCAGAAGAGGCTGTCGGATCCCCTGGGACTGGAGTTAACAGATAGTTGTTAGTTGCCATGTGGGTGCTGGTAGTCAAACCTGGGTCTTCTGCAAGAACAGCCAGTGTTCTCAACCACTGAGCCATCTCTCCAGCCCTCTTCATAAGTTTTATCAGTTAAAAAAAATCTTTTTATTATGCTGGGCATGGTGGCATGTGCTTTTAATCCCAGCCCTTGGGAGGCAGGGGCAGGTGGATGGATCTTTGTGAGATTGAGGCCACCCTGGTTTACATCGTGACTTCCAGGTGGGCTGTGACTAGCGAGACCCTGTCAAAAAACAACCAACAAAAAAGCCTAAAAAAATTATTATTTATTATTTTATGTGTATTAGTGTATTGCCTGCATGTATATAAGTTCACCTGTGTTGTACAATGCCCACAGAGGTCAGAGAGGCTGTCAGATCCCCAGTGTGTGCCACCACGCTCAGGTTTAAATTTTATTTTTAATGTTGTCAACATTCTCACCATACCATACAACTTATCATTCTAAACATTTAAAAATATATAATAATACAGTGGTTTGGAAGGATGGCTTAGTGAGGACCCAGGTTTGGTTCACATGGCTATTCACAACTGTCTGTAACTCTAGTTCCAGGGGATCCAGTGCCCTTTTGGCCTCTTTGGGCACCAGGCATGCAAGTGGTACACGTACAATATGCAGGTACTCACATAGACAAAATAAATTCTTTTTTCTTGAGACATGGTCTCACTGTATAACCCTGGCTGGTCTGAACTCCACTATATGGGCCAGGCTGGCCTCAAACTCACAAAAATCCCTCTGCCTCTGCCTCCCAAGTGCTGGGATTTAAAAAGGCATGGCCCATCACACACACACACACACACGCACATGGGGGTATTAAATTGTTAAAATTATATATCAGATCTGAAAGAACTTCTTAAAAATTTTATTTTATTTCTTTACGTGTGTGTGTGTGTGTGTGTGTGTGTGTGTGTGTGTATGTATGTGTGTGTCTATGCTGTGGCATGTATGGAGGTCAGAGCACAACTTGCCAGAGTTGGTTTTCTCTCTACCATGTGGGCCTGGGGATGGAACTCAGGTTGCCAGACTCAATGACAAGTCTGAGCCATCTTGCCAGCCCAAGAAATTTTTAATTGATACTACATAGAATTTTAGTTTATATTTTTGTATTGAGCTTGTCTCCTGCAACCTTGGCCCCCTGTGCCCCCCCCCCCCCATTTATTCTATGTATGAACCATTATTCCCTGCTGAAGTGCAGGAAGTTTTGGGAGCTGATTCTCCTCCTGCCTTACTGGTGCAGGTCTCACTTATTGTTTCTCCTCTTCAGCATATTCAGGCTAACTGGCTCAGGAGCTTCCAGATGATTCTTTTGCCTCCACCTCCCATTTTACCATAGGAGTGCTGGGATTATGGATGTGAGCCACTGCATCTAACTTTTTGTGGGTTTCCGGGATTGAACTCGGATTGTCAGGCTTGTACAGCAAATAATTTTACTTGCTGAATCATTTTGATGGTCCACCTTTTATGTTTTTGGGGGCAGGATCTCACTATGAAGCCCTGGCTGGCCTGGAAGTTGCTGTGCAGACCAGGATTGTAGGCATCTACTGCAACACTTGACAGGTTGTTAAGATTTTTTACTGTGGTGTACTCATCTTCTAACATTTCCTTCTCTTTCCCATCCCCTCCCTCCCTCCCTCGATCCCTCCCTCCCCCCTCTCTTTGTCCGTCCATCCAATCCATCCAATCCATCCATCCATCCATCCATCCATCCATCCATCCATCCATCCATCCATCCATCCGTGCTGGGTGCTAGGCAAGTGCTATACGTACCATAGTTACATTTCCAGCCCCTGAGCTCATATTTTTCATTCATACTTAAAAATAATACTTTTAAAAGTTTACTTATTTTTATTTTATGTTTAGGAGTATTTTGCTTACATTGTATGTAAATGCACCTCATGTGTGCTATGCCTGTGGAGGACAGAAGAGGGTATCAGGATCCTTTGGAAAGGGAGTTTGGGACAGTTGTTACTTGCCATGTAGGTGCTGGGAACCAAACCTGGGTCCTCTGCAAGAGCATCCAGTGCTCTTAACCTCTGAACCATCTTTCCAGCCCCATTCATACTTTTTGTACTCCATTATGAGTATTTTTTTCAGATTAACTTTTCCAGTTTGCTAGTTTTCATCTGTAGTATTTTGCTTAATCTGGTTTGAAAATTCTATTTAGTTCTTTTAAAAAATTAATTTTTTTGTTTTTTTTAACTTTAAAAAATTTTTATTGAGAATTTCATACATGGATATAAGGTGTTTGAGCAAATCCATGCCCACTCCCTCCCCTTCAACTCCTCCCATATCTCCCCATCACTTTTTCCTGACAACTTTGTGTACTCTTTTTTTTTAATGGGACTTTTTGCTACTCTAGCATTCCCCCCTCTGAAGTGGTAACCCTAAAATCTTTTAGGGATTAGATAATAGCTCCCAAATACTTTTGACATTTTTGGCCTTTGGAAACAGAGTATGTTGCTAAGAGGCCCAAGGACATTTTGACTTTTAGCCAAGAAACTGGCTACTTTTCTTTGGGGTCTTTTTACCCTAATTGCCTAGCCAATTCCTACCTCTTATTCTTATCACGCCATCCTCTGACGGGATTACCCAAATTGCCAATAGGGAATCAGGATGCAGACCACTCTGGCTTCTTCCATGCTGAACAGGGATGCAGGGTGAGGCAATTGGAGTACCCCTTCAGTGGGTCTATCTATAAGACTCCCAGATTGCATAACTCTTATCTGTAGGGAGAAAACAAAGTCCTTGACTGGTACCTAGGAGATGTGAAAGAGAAGTAAAGGCAAGAGTAGTTAGCATTACAAGTTCTAGACAGGGAACCAGAAAAAGGTCAGAACAGGGCAAATTTCAAATGTTCATATCAGAGTATATTGGAATTTCTTGAAGAGAGCTTCCAAAAGCATCCCTCTATTGGGTTCCTCCTCATTTTTCTTTTGTCTGCCAAGGCTGGACTAGAGAGTGATGGACTCAGAATTTGTTTTCAGGCACTTTGATAGCTGTTGGAGTGGTTAGACTCAGTGTCAGTTCCCACTCAAAGGCTTCTAGATAGGGGGAGAAAACAAATTTAGCCATCATTTTAGAACAATAGTGGGTTGTCTCCCTTAGCTACAGGTGGGCACTACAGTATGCAGATGAAGAGTTGAAGTCTTACATCTGAGCAGTACTTTCCAATTAGAAACAAAATCATCAATGAGAAATAATTGTCTAAATAACATTTTATATGGACTTAAGCCTAATGTCTGGGATTTGGCCCTAATCCCACATGGTCTTCTGGAATTGGGGTGACTTAAAGTATCTGGGGAAGGCTAGGAAGAGAAGGCTTGATCCAAGCTGGGTAAAGGCTTTTCAGTGTGCATACCCTCAGGTCACTCATATACCTCAGCAACCGCTCAGTCATCTCTGTAAGTAAGCTCAGTAAATCATTGGTTCCCCAAGAAAACTTTAATCAAACATTAGTTTGACACTAGAACCTTTGAAAGGGATAAACATTGCTTATCCCCAGGAAAAGAATTCTCACAACAGATAGAAAATTTATTTGTTAATGTTATTATGTGTCATAATTATTAAAAAAGAAAATGAGAATGTAAAACATGTTAAAAGGATATAGGAATGGAGATAATTTTCAAAATAGAAAATATGAGAAAGCCTAAGCAAGTGATGAAGGCCTGTGTAGGTTTGTTATATATAAAGGATGAGACAAAAATAATATACATATAATTTTAAAATTTCTGAGGTCATAGTTTAGTCAGCTAGTTCAAGGAACAAAATATATGTCTAGTCAAGGTTTATCTGAGAATATTTGATTTTTGCCCAAGCTTTATCTACATAGCACATGGTAATTAAAATACCAGACTGGTGGAACTAATCTTGGACATTTAACAGCTGCACTTTGAGGCCTACACTTACCTGGTCAGAGGGACTTAAAGAACAGTTTTTGCTCCTTGCCCTCCATGGTCAACTAAGTTCCAGGGGACTATGGAGCATCTCTCAAAATGTCCTGTAGCTGTAGTGAGTCACCTGTCCTCTTGTTCAGGGAGGCCATGGAGACCCCACCAAATGGACTTGAACCAGTGTCCAGTCTACAAAGAGAGGAGGGTCAACACAGGAAACATTTCCTCCATGCTTCCAAGTATAGCCAGCCACGATCGAGCAGGACCTTTGACTTATCTTCACATACATGGAACTGGTAAAAGAAAGGAGCCAGCTCCTAAGCCCATGTGACCCCTGAGGAACAGATCCTCAAACAACCTTAAGAGTAAAAACAAATTGGTTTATTTGGGCCAACTGTATGGTCTTAAACACCCAAAAGGAAAGTATAACAAAGATTAAAGTGATCAGTATAATTCTTTAAGAGTCCATTTGTATAGCTAAAGGCTACAGATCATTAAACTTGTTTTAATGGTTCTCAAAATTCTGTGACAGATTTTTGGTCAAGTTGTTTCCATTAAAAAGCACTGATTTTAAAAACTAATAATTGAAAACTGCCACACACACACAAAAATGGTCTGCAAAACATTCTCCTTTCCTTCTGAAGGTTTTACAATGCATTGTTATCATTGTTATCATTAACCAGTCTTTTACTATTAAACTTAAATGGCCAATGGAGATAAACAGTTCTGAGACTGTTCTACCACTGATTAAGACTGGTGGCTTTCTGGGCAGACTTGGTGACCTTGCCTGCTCCAGCAGCCTTCTTGTCCATGGCTTTGATGACACCCACAGCAACTGTCTGCCTCATGTCACGAACAGCAAAATGACCCAGAGGAGGATAATCAGAGAAGCTCTCAACACACATGGGCTTGCCTGGAACCATGTCAACAATGGCTGCATCACCAGATTTCAAGAATTTAGGACCATCTTCCAGCTTCTTCCCAGAATGGTGATCAATCTTTTCTTTAAGCTCAGCGAACTTGCAAGCTATGTGAGCTGTGTAACAATCCAGCACAGGGGCATAGCCAGCACTAATTTGGCCTGGATGGTTCAGGATAATCACCTGAGCAGTGAAGCCAGCTGCTTCCATTGGTGGGTCGTTTTTGCTGTCACCAGCAACATTACCATGTTGAACATCTTTGACAGACACATTCTTTATGTTGAAGCCTACATTGTCCCCAGGAAGACCTTCACTCAAAGCCTCATGGCACATTTCAACAGACTTGACTTCAGTTGTAACACTGACTGGAGCAAAGGTAACTACCATGCTAGGTTTGAGGACACCCGTCTCCACTCTGCCCACAGGGACGGTACCAATACCCTCCTAGAGGGGCAGTTGCAGAGGCTTGTCAGTTGGACGAGTTGGTGGTAGGATACAGTCCAAAGCTTCCAGCAGTTTGGTTCTACTGGCACTGCCATCCTTATGGGTGACCTTCCATCCCTTGAACCAAGGCATATTGGCACTTGGCTCTAGCATTTTGTCACCATTCCAGCCAGAAATTGGCACAAATGTTACTGTGTCAGGGTTGTAGCCAATTTTCTTAATGTAGGTGCTGACTTCCTTAACAATTTCCTTGTATCTTTTCTGGCTGTAGGGTGGCTCAGTGGAATCCATTTTGTTGACACCAACAATTAGCTGTTTCATACCCAATGTGTAAGCCAGAAGGGCATGCTCATGGGTTTGCCTGTTCTTGGAGATACCAGCTTCAAATTCACCAACACCAGCAGCAATAATCAGGACAGCATAGTCAGCCTGAGATGTGCCTGTAATCATGTTTTTGATAAAGTCTCTGTGTCCTGGGGCATCAATGATAGTCACATAATATTTGCTGGTCTCAGATTTCCACAGAGAGATGTCAATAGTGATACCACACTCACGCTCAGTTTTAAGTTTGTCCAAAACCCAGGCATACTTGAATGAGCCTTTTCCCATCTCAGCAGCCTCCTTCTCAAATTTTTCAGTGGTTCGTTTGTCAATTCCACCACATTTTAGATCAGGTGACCGGTAGTGGTTGACTTGCCCTGACCACGATGTTGATGAGTCTTTTCCTTTCCCATTTTGGCTTCGAGTTAGCAATGGTTTTCACAACACCTGTGTTCTGAAGGCAAACCTGTTACAAAAAAAAAAAAGCCAGTATATTTCTTTTAAGAGTCCAAGGGATTACACTTCCCAGACATTAGGCTTAAGTCCATATAAAATGTTATTTAGACAATTATTTCTCATTAAAATTTATTTTTATAGTTCAACATTTTATCATCTGGTATATTAAACTGAGCCTGGGTGCAGGCCTATAATCCCAGTTACTTGCAGACTTGAGGCATGAGGATTGCAAGTTCAGGGCCTGTCTAGTTTACATAAAAACAAGTTTAAGGTCATCCTGGGCAGCTTAGACTTTGTCTCAAAATAAAAACTGAAAAAGGACTGAGGATGTAGTCTAGTGGTAGAGCGCTTACCTAGCATGCACAGGGTCTTAGGTTTAATTCCCTGTACCACAAAAGTTTATTTATTTTTGCCATAGTCTTATGTAGCTCACATTGGGATATGTTGCTGAGGTTGACCTTCAACTTTGGGTTATTCTATCTCTACTCCTGGAGTGCTGAGATTACAGGTGTGTACCTTAGGTCTGGCTTTTTCCTTTATGTTTTAAATAAGCCGATCCATGAGAGATTATTGTGGGAGATTTGGGGAGCTGGTGTAAAAATGAAGCTGCAGAAATTTAGTAGTGCATGCTCCTTGTTGCTTGTTTGTTGATTCACGTCTCTGCGTTGAGGTAGCTTTGAAGACTGCGGTTGTTGTACCTTCTCCTGGGTCCTTGAGCTTTTCTGACTCCTGGATCAGACATGTTTTTAACTGTTTGACAAAGAGCCCTGGCTCTGTAGGACCTCTATACCATCAAGGGGTTAGAGATAACAATGCTAACATACAGTTCTGTCTGTCTTGTTGACTTAGCTTGCGTTTTCTACTTTGTTCTCATTTAGTTTATGGGCTCTGGCTTATTCTTTTCTCCCATTACTGTCTACTACATCCTTCTTTCCTCTTAATCCTGACCCTGTGAGTTTTAGACTTCTACCATCAGTTGCAAAAGACAACAATTGTACAGAGACTTCTTAACCAGCTCTCACAGCGTCATAAGGCCAAATCTTATGCATGTGTGTGTGAATGAGAACTTTTGACTGACCCACTTGGTGACTCTGTTCTTTGATTAAACCTCTAATTATACATTTTCCAAAGACCACATATTTGCCATAATATTTATCAGTTGTAGCAACACAAATGGAAACTAGGAATCCTTTGTACTGAGTTCAGGATTTGCTCTGATCAAGATGTCAGAACCTGAATGTTTCAGAACATTTTTCCTTAGCAGGTTCCTTACCACTGGTAGATTTACCAGTGCTGCATTATGGTACACAAGGCTATCACTCAAATACATAAACCCAGGGGTTATTCTGTGAAAGCAGAAACTCTTCTGTGTTCTTTCTAGTACATGGGACATGGGACTTTCCTGCTGTCTTTGGAATTTTGCAGGTAGCTTGAGTGCTTGCTATCAGCATATGGGCTTTGTCTTTAAGTACAAGGTGGGGTTTACCACAATTGGGCTTGGCATAGTTTGGGCTGTGAAGCTTGGCTCTAGGTAGTAGTGTCTGAAATGGCCCATTCATTTCTATTTTACACTTTAGATTACATCTTTATTTATGTATTTGTGTGTACGTATATGCCACGGAGGTCAGAGAACAACTTGCCAGAGTTGTTTTTCCCCTTCCACCATGTTGGTCCTGGGTATTGAACTCAGGTGGTCAGGTTTGGTGGCAGGTGCCTTTACCCTCTGAGTCATCTTGCCAGCCCTAATTCATTCATTTCTGTGATGGCTGGCTCTAGATATTTTTAAGTATTTTTGTTCTTCGTGTATTTTCATTTTTTCTTTTTGTATTTTCTTTCTTCCTTTTCTTCTTCTTCCCTTGATGACCTTGAACTCCCGATCTTCCTGCCTCCACCTCCTGAGTGCTAGACTATATGCCACCATGTCCTGTTTTATGCAGTTGCTGGTTGGGTTCTGGGGTGGGGGAGCACTTAATGCTTGATAGGTAAGTACTTTATCAATGGAACTAAATCCCCAGCCTGGAGACACTCCTTTTCGAAATGGAAATATCTAAAGCTGGGCATGCTGCCTTATACCTTAATCTCACCATTGGCCTGTAATCCGTTACTCTGGAGGCTGAGGCAGGAGTATTGTCTCAAGTTCAGGGCTCTCCTGGGCTCTATAGTTCAGGCTAACCTATGCTATGGTATGAGATATTATCTCAAAAACAAAAACAAAAAAAATTAAAAAACAACAAAAAACCAACAAAAGCCAAAGAAAAAAGATTTTCAAAAGGTAGTGTCTAGATTAAGGTTCTATTAGATCATATTAACTATCTATTAGATATGAGAGACTTAGAGAGAATAGTGTTTTACTTTCACCAGAATGACTACAATGAATGACTAGATCCACAATAGTACTATACTGGAATTCATGTAGAGATGAAAGAAAACAAAAATCTCTTGGTTGTTGGTGGGAAGGGCAGATTGGTAAAACTAGTATTTAAAAACTTCCTTCTAAAGCTGAACATAAGCATATGCTGTGACCTAAAACCCTAGGAGCTGGTATTAACTCCTGGTACATGTATATACAACAGAAGCATATACAAAACTTCATGAACACATGGTAGCAGAAACTGAAAACAACCTAAATGCTCATCAAGAATAGACTGGAGCTGGAGCTGAATGTGGTAGTACATACCTTACCTGTAAGCTCACTAGGCTAAACTCATTAGGCTGAGGTAGTGGGATCATGAGTTCAAGGCCCACTTGAGTTATACAACAAGATACTGTTGATGGATGGATGGATTGATGGATGGACGAATAGAAGGATAGAAGGAAGGCAGAAAGGGAGGGAGGATGGGAGAAAAGGGGATGTCTTAGTTTGCTCTCAATTGCTGTGATAAAACACTGACCAAAACCAACTTGGGGAGGAAAGCACTTATTTTATCTTACATCTATCTCCCAGGTCACAGTTTATCACTGAGGGAAGCCAGACAAGAACTGAAACACAGACCATAGAGGAATATTGCATACTGGCTTGCTCTTCTGGCCTATGCTTAGCCTACTGTCTTACGTAACACAGACACACCTACCCAGGGATGGCACTGCCCACTGCTGGCTGAACCCTCCCACATCACTCAACAATCAAGAAAAGGCCCTGCTGGGTGTAGTGGCACATGCCTTTAATCTTAGCACTTGAGAGGCAGAGGCAGAGGCAGAGGCAGGTGGATCTCTGTGAGTTTGAGGTCAGCCTGGTCTGCCTGATGAATTCCAGGCCAGCTAGGGCTACAGGGAGACCCTATCTCAAAAAGCCCCCCCCCCGCAAAGAACTCTACAGCTCTACCTGTGGGAGATATCTTTAGACATGGAGACAGTTCCTCAATTGATGTTCCCTCTATCCAGGTGTACCATGTTGACATCCGAAGCTATCCAGATAGCACAGGAGAACAGGAAGGGGAAGGGAAAGAATAGATTACATAAACAGTGGTGTAATAACACAGTAGAATACTTTGTAGTAATGAAAATGAAATCACAGCATGTAATTGCACATATGTCTCAGAGACATAATGTTGTGCATTAGCTTGATACAGAAGAGTTTAGAGACTGTATTTAGGTGAAGGTTGGAAACAAGTAAAGTAGCCCATATAATAAAGATTGAAATAGTGTTTGTGTTGGAGAATGGTAGTAACTAGAATGACTAGAGGGGACAAGAATGATACTTCTGGGAAGTTAAGTGTTTTGTATCTCTGGTCATTTTGTGGATACGTTCATTTTGTAAAAATGCACCATTGTGTACTTTTAATGTATAATACTTTTTATATTTTATTTATTATTTTTATTTTATGTGTATGCGTGTATTGCCTGCATCTAGGTAAGTGCACCTGTGTTGTACAATGCCTGCAGAGGACGAAAGAGGCTGTCAGATCCCCTGGGACTGGAGTTATGGACAGTTGTTAACTGCCATGTGGGCGCTGGGTTTCGAACCCCGTCTTCTGCAAGAACAGCAGTGTTCTTAACCACTGAGCCACCTCTGCAGCCCCACGTAATGTGTAATACTTTCATACTGATATTTCAAATTTTTTTTTGAGTTAGGATATAGTTATATAACTCATCTTGAACTTGTGATTCCCCCTTCAGCTTCAGACTCCTGAGTGCTAGGATTACAAGTTTGTGCCATTATACCCATCTCTCAGATTTGTTTGTTTGTTATTTTAGAGACAGAGCTTCATGTATTCCTGGCTGGCCTTGAACATAAACTTACTGTGTAGCAGAAGATGGCCTTTAGCTTCCAATCCTCCTGTCTGCATATTTTGAATTACAGGGTTTGGTTTATGCAGTGTTAGGGACTGAACCAAGTTCATGAATGTTAGGCAAACCTTTTTTTTTTTGGTCTTTTTGAGACAGGGTCTCCCTGTAGCCCCAGCTGTCCTGAATTCACTATGTAGACCAGACTGGCTTGAACTCACAGAGATCCACCTGCCTCTGCCTCCAGAGTGCTGGGACTAAAGGCATGCTCCACCATGCCTGGCTGACCTTGAACTTTTGATCTTCCTGTTTCCACCTCTCAAGTGCTGGAATTATAGGCCCATGCCTGGTTTTATATGGTATTGGGACTTGAATCTAGGACCTTGTCCCTTAAATTTGTTCTTTAGTGATCTAACATCTACTTATAACTTCTGTTGGTATTGAGATTTTTCTGGGGAGGGAAGCAGGTAAAAAAATTCGAGTATTAAAAGTGAGGGTATATTTACATGAAAGATTGACCCTGTAGTGTTTTCCTTATTTACTTCCTGTGTTTTATGATTTTTGGTTCCAGGTATAGACAAAATTATCCACTTTTTTTTTTTTTTTTTTTTTTTTGAGACAGTATCTTCTTGTAGCCCCAGCTGTTCTGGAAACTCACTAAGTAGACCAGGCTGGCTTCAGTCTCACAGAAATCTGTCTGCTTCTGCCTCCCAAGTGTTTTGGGATTAAAGATGTGTGCCACCATGCCCAGCTTCCACATTAATTTTAAATAAAATGACAGACTGCTATAATTTTGGAAGAAGCTATTATAAATTCTATTCAAAATCCAGTGCTCTTTCAAGGGAGATGGATAAACGCTCTATCATTTGGTATTTAGAGCTGCATTATTTAAAAGAGCAGGTGTGTTTTATTTGGTCCTGTCATATGTTGCAAGGGAATAGAATGACTGAACCTCTAAGCCTTTTTTTTTCTCTTAGATTTCTGTGACAGACACAATTTCATAATCTCTTGAACAGAAGCTTTCTTATTTTCTCACTGAACATTGGCTCTCTTCAAAATTAGAGTATTCTTTTTGTCTTACCTAGAAATCCACATTTAGTTTGTACATTGTGTATAAAAGAGCATGGTTGGAATTCATAAGTTATCTAATACTGTAGCATACATATAGAACAGCAGGGTAAGGTAACTTTCTGTAGGTCGTATTTGAGCTACTAGTTGCTTGGGTTTTTATAGTTTTAGGGTGATGATGAAAAATAGTTGTAGCAGTGCTAGCAATAATATCATTCATTTATTTAATTATTTATTACAGAACCAGGCCCATGTCTGTGGGCCCTCTACATTGAGCTGCATGCCTTTCCTAGAAAGTGTCATTTAATGGGCTGTGCTTATGTCAGCTTACAGTGTTAACTCGTAGTTTCAATGGAAAAGTCTCTTTGGCAGCAGTAAATTTGTGACATATAATTTCAGTTTGCATTTGTCACGTGAGTAAAGGATAGCACAGTTCTAGTTTTATTCATT